ATTGTTGTATGTTATTAATTTTACGTTTATGTTTTCGTAAAGAATTTTTTTTGTCGACTTACAACATAAGTAGCACATTTTTCTTTACAGTGAACGCACGAGAGGAGCACGTAGGGCGATCTTGAATTATCCGGTTCGCCATCTGAAGCGGCGTCGGGCTCTTTGTCAGTATCTTCTCCGCCTTCGCCGACTTCCCCTTCGGATCCTTCTGCCTCCACCTTATCAATATTTACTGGTTAATTTACTAGTTAATTAACTGGCATTTACTTACAGTAAAATATATATATGAACGAGTGCTACCTTGGGAGATTTTATTTTGGCCTCTTTTTTCTCGTCAATTGCTTCTTCTTCCTTCTCATCAGCATCCCACTCTTCTTCAGTCGAAGATGCCTCATCTTTTGATTTAATGGAGCTATTTAAAATAAACTTGATTATTCAAAGTTCACACCATAAAAGTTAAATCGTTGCAACTAGACTGGAATATTTATAACCATGGATACATAGTTGTATTACTCGTGGTTACTTTTGATTACAAATGTCATAGGTGCATAACATCCAAGGTAAAAAAAATCTGTTTTTGGTACTGAGACCATTGTATATTGTATGTAACAAAAATTATTACCTGTTGGTATTTTGATACATTCCCACAAATATAATTTTCGATTTATTTTATTTTTTCATGACACGATTGCCAAAATTATAAATGCAACTTGACCCACTTAATCTTTCAACAGTGCACTTAATAAAACCAATTATGTAGTCATTAACACTCTAAAGTGATACAATACATAAGCAGCTATATGAGTTGATAATTCAATTTTATTGGATTTAATTTTTCCTTTCTGACCTGCTTTATATGTATTCCACTTCTTCCATGATTCAATAATATATTGGCATTATTGTATTTTTTTAAACTATTCATTTGGTATATTATGAATCAATTAAGAATTAAGACCTGGTTCAATCCCAATATTGATTGTCCGCCTTTGCCAATACAGTGAGTTAAGTTAATATTCATTTTAACATCAGCCATTTTCATTATACTTTCTAATGTATGAAGACTTGAAAAACATAGAATTGAAGATTTTTTTATACATGTAATAGCAACTGTGTTTATCTTGTACTGTCTTTTTCATTTTATATTACAGGGTAGATATAAAAATGCAGTCAGACTCTCACTTTTATTACATTTGAAGGAATGAAGTGAACTTATTTTCCTTATGATTTTTGATTGACTAACTTAATCTTTTATACAATATATCTTTTTCCTGATTTCTACATTATAAACTTTATTTTTATATATTCAGATAGTTTTGGTAGAAATTTTCTAGAAATTATTAAAATAAATCATTTCATGACGGCAGAAGTAATTTCTTTTTTTGGTCCAATTTTTCCAAAACACGCTAAGCTAAGTGTAAACATGGGTCAATAGACTCAATTACCTTCGGCCCTTGATAGATTTGAATGCGCGGGTGTAACCGAGCGAGCGTTCGCCGAAGCGCCTAGAGGTAAAGGAGCCGCGAGAGCGCAGCGCGCCGCGGTAGGAGGCGCGCGAGCGCAGCATGCGGCCGCGGAACGAGCGGCGCGGTGCGCGGGGCCGCACGCCCATGCGCGCCAGCTCGCGCGGCGGGCCCATGCCGCTCGGCTTGCGGTACCCGTCTCGGGCCGGCGACCGCCTTCTCTCCTCGCCGCCGAACGACCTTCTCTCGCCGCTATAACTGTCTTGTCTACCGCCGTAAGATCCGCCATAGTGCCCGCCGCCATCATGGCTACGTCTATCGCTCGTCGAGCCCTGGACATAACTCTCTTTGGTTCTTCTATCATGTTTTACAAACCAAAGTGCACAAAAAGAAGATTAAACAAATAAATTTACTCTCTCTTTAATTATACCAAGCCTTAATTATGTTTGTAAATCCGATATGGCTGTTGTGTTGTTCAAAATCATAGCTGAATTTGTTTAGTACTGTCTTATCTAACACATAAAAATTGTGCTCTTGGCTAAATGTTTTACTTATGTGACCAGGGTTCAACTTTCTGCTGGAATGCTCAAAAGAAAATCACCAATATATATAGCGGAAATTATATTTTTGTTATATGAAACATCTTCTGCAACAGAATGCATGAAACTGTGGTCCTTTGTATTTGTACATATTAATCTGTCTTATTGGGTTATTTTTCACACTATCTATTTCTATCTATGTTGTTGTCCCTCATTTCAAGTATTGAGAACTGTATTCTTCTCAAAGTCAATATCACAACATGACATTGTTCTATCATTCTGTTAAGTATCATGTCAAATTATCATCAAAAACTTAAAAATGTCCTTAATCCATAATGGTGAGTCAATGCTGAGAGCATGACTATTCAAACTTTTCATAAATTGACTGATTCTATATTCCCGTCCCATCTGCCTTGTATATTCACTACAAAATCTACCTGTTATGTAAATTACATACCTCCATCCTCATTCTTTTTCGATCTGGTGAACCTGATCTGCCATAGTCACGATTTTGATAGCTTGCAGAAGGTTCCTTCGGTAAATAGTTAACACATTAAAAAAATTGACAATTTGATATTAACATTTATTATTCTAAAAACCAAGCTACTTACTGATCTATAAGGTTTTTTATATGAATCATCAATTCTATCCCGGCCAGTGGAATATCTAGTAGAGTTGCTATTGTTATAGCGGGTGTCATTATTATATGAGGAATAACCACCTCTGCCTCCTCGCCCACTATCATATGAGCCTCGGCTGCCACTGCCACGGTAACTTCCCCTGTATCCGCTACCTCGATTGTTGTAGCTACCCCTACCACTATAACCACCATACATTCTCCCACGTGAAGACATTTTCACTAAAAAATATATATAATGGATAACATTTACAATAAAAAATGTACATAACTAGTATCTTATAATTTCAAGAACTCTTGGTATTGCTCTACTATAGGGGTGGTAAACCACTGCCACTTGTGCCATTATTGGCACACAACATAATATTTTGGGCATGTCACTGTTCATAAAAACACTAAAAAAAATAATGTAGTAGATACACCATGGAATTGATGTAATAACCTAAAATAAAAATTATTCAATGGCATGTCTAAGACCACATTAAACATTCCTTTCAAAAAAAGGTATGTTGATGCATACATTTTTGCCACCCATGTCCTAGTAGATAGTGTGCTACACTGTAGAAAACTATGTAATTTTCTAACAGTACTAATAATGAATTAGTCTGCTATCAATATTCCAATTTAATTAAAAAAATTAATGTCAGTTATTATCCCTCACCACTTTACATATGTTTTAAGTCAAAAATTGACATTTTATAAACTTAACTCACAAATTAGACTGTATATTTTTCAATTCCCCTTCCAATGGAAAAAAAAAACTCATTAGATGTCAATAATTACATGAATCTGTATGGATAATGCAGGTTTTGGTGTTCAAACCTTTATTTTGGTAAAGAAACATAAATCATTAGTCTTCTATAAAACCACGACTAGTGCTTTTACCATATAGAATGGTTTAAATTTTTTAGTGTAGTTGAATAGATGTGGAAAGAGGAAACACACAAGTTATGTTTAATATAGCAACGCAAACCAATTTAGCTTGAACTGTCCTTGGTAATATAAAGCTATTCTTAACTAACTAACCTAAAAAGTAACTAGGTACCTTCCACATAAGAAAGGGATAAGTATAATTGTGTTAGGTAATAAAATAATATTACCTTTAAGATTGAGAAAACCCTATAGTCCTTTACTTTCAAATACCAAAAAAGACATTCTTTAGTTACTTTCTTTGTTATACTATAATTACAAATATTTTTACAAATCGAAGGGAAGAGCCCAAGCCGGTGAAATTAAGATGGCGTCGTGTATTTTACCATACGTGGAAAAAATACCTCATACGGGATAATTTAATGGAATAAACATCTCATATATATATACTTACAGTTACTTGTCGACACTGAAAACAATACGCAATAATTCTAAAGGTAATATATCAAAGGCAACTAATTAATACGTATAGAAACGAATCACACAAAGTAGAACGTTGCTCGTATTTAATGATTTTGACTTTTATGCAGTGTTGCCAATGATTTTTTTTTAAAACCATGTACCATGGTATCATTGTTCGAAGGATTTTTTTTTATTTTTCTTTCGAAAGCTAAAATCGATTTGTTAAAGAAAAACAATGAATTATTGTAAATCTTCGAAAATAAGTTGAATCTGCTATGGGGTTAGAGTTACGACCGTATACCGTAAATTTTGTAAAGCCGTAAAACACGGTGATTCCGTAGCATTGGCAACACTGCTTTTAAATGAATAGGAAACGGAGCAAACTTACCAATGAATATTTTTATCCCGCTTGCAACTATTATCAAACTCTTAAACAATAGCTTAATAGCCGTAAAGCCTGGTAATTGCATAAGTTATGTTAACACTGAGCTGCTTTCCGCTACAACTGATGGATGCCATTGCCAGTGTGGAATTGTTTAGGGTTACTATTTCTAAAAATTTGATAAAAAGACACATTGACTCATTGACGTTGATGTAAAGTGTTGCAATGTCAATTGAGTTTGTGGCGCCATCATGACAGGGTTTTTATATTGTTGATCAGGTTTTATACAGGTGGACACCTGCTACAAAAAATATGCTAACATTTCACATGTAAATGACTAAAGAAAATATTTATATACAGAGACAAGGCTTCAGGGTCAAGGGTCAAAACAAAAGGTCTTTGTCCTCCATATTACTATCATCCGACATCTCAGTCATCACTCCCTTCTTGATCATGTCACCTTTCACACAATCCATTCATGACTTTCTAGATCAACCTCTACCTGTACGCACCTCCACACTCATATCTAACGTTATTCTTGTTATAATCCAGCTAACAAGCCAATTGGAAATATAAAAACTATTCGTTTTAACAAATCTTTTATTTTTCGTTTTTCTAAAAATAAATAATTGTTACAAAAAGCAAAGATCTGAAACTGCAACTATCTTTATTGTCTATATCGAAATTTATTTTATAAACGTTGGTACATATTCTAGTTTCTAAAGTCGTTGTTATCTTCTATTTCTTGCTTTTTTTCCAGAGAATATTTCATTTTTGTACTCCACCAGATTTGCCCAGGAATCCTGAATATTTACATTTTTAAATTTTCATTAATAATAGTTACTATCATTATGATTCAATAGGATGTAACATGTTGCATACCTTTCTTGCTTCACGCCATTCAAGATTTCTAAGTCGCGCTAAGCCTTTAAAATTTCTGTCAAGTATTTTTAAAAATTCTGCCCTTGTTATTTTTGCCGCTTCAGCAGTTCCGTTGTTGGGTTTAGGTTTTGACTTATCCTGGAAACATATGAATTTGAACATAATTATGGATAAATTTAATTTTGTTTCAACTCAGGCTCAAGGCTTCTATCTCAAAGTTTTGGCATCATAAACCGTTATATTATAAAACGGCTTACAAAAATGGAGTAGGGATCATATCACTCTAAATCAATCGACAAACAGCTAAATGCGAAAACCGACATCGTCTCTTATCAAAAGAAAGGGCGAAGGTGCTATAAATGTTTGCAGGGTGCTGCAATGATAAGAATGCAATCGCTATTAACATATAGCCTTAACCCATCGTATTATCTTAAATTTTTATACTTACGTCATTATCAGCAAATTGATTGTTGACTAATCCCGAAATTTGATTGTATGCACTCTTAGTATCATTGATTTGCTGAAACATGAATTTTAGTGTGAATTTATATTATTTTTATAACGACTGAGATTACAGCAGCAGCTGGACCCATACCACGACCTCGGTCCAATAAATAGATGCAAAAACTTCTTTAAGAGAAGTAAAGGTAATTTGCATTTTTTCTGATAAGAGATAAAATTACAATACTTTTCGACTTTCCATACTTTTGTATTAGAAATACTTGTCAAAAGAGTATTTTCGGAGGATTGAAATATACTTTTGTCTGTTTCGTCTTCCTTCTTAGAAATTTTCAAATGCCTGTTGGTTGGTTAGCCAGGGGTGCCTAGGAGTAAGGGTAGGTGTCCCCTAATACCAGGCTTACCAGAAATGAGATCAAGCGAAAAATTAACGTTCAAATCACTGATGAATTATTTTCTCCAACTGAAAATCTTAGTTTAAAAATGTGAAAAGAAACATCTGTAGAAACACCATCATAACATTGTATAGCATGTGTTTTCTTACCTCCACAATAAGACTGAAAATTGTTCCAAAAAATCCTCGTTGTGGAGTGGTTGCTACATTTTTTCCAGCCTTCAATGTAACATATCTTAGGGCACGGTCTTTGCTTATAGAAGCATCGGCTGTTGGCTGAAAAATACGGACAATTATGAAATACCTCGCTAAAAAATATAAATCATTCAGTTGTTTATAAAGCATAACTGCATAATATATAATGCAATTGAACAGAAAACAGTATAAAATTCAACAGTGGTGGAGCCCGCTTTAACATATTTGCACGAATGGGCTCGCCAGGTGTATACATTGACCACATAGAAGACAGACGTGATGTAAAAGCAATTCCACGAACAGACTGATGAGTGTGCATTCCTGGGTCCTAATTAAGTTCACTTTCACAAGAATTTTGGGATGGGGAGAAGGATTTGGCTGGGGATGAGACGAATAGACAAAGGAAATATCCTCTTTCTGTGCGTCCCACGTGTGGTAGCCGCTTGCTGGTATTGTTACTGTGTACCATAAAAACAAAAAGAAATATTAAATCAGATATAATATGCGGCTGAAGCATTTGGTTTCTGCATTGTGTTTGTCAATTTATTAAAAATATTAGAAGCTGTAGGTATCTCTCTAATCAAAAACTGTGATTTAATCTAAGTCAGTAGTATCAAGTAAATTAACAACATTACACAATTTGTATAACGATTATGTGTAGTAGGAAGTCATTTGTGGTGCGCTGCGCTTACGTGTGCATTATGTACTAAAGATCTACTAACTGGTTGCGCGGCGGCCGGGAGTACTGCCGCAGCGATCACAATGGCGCCAAAGACAACTAGATAAAACTTCTGCGACATTATTTCATTTACATCAATCTTGTCCTGAATCACAAAGTAGAATTTTATCAAAAACTATGACCTAAAGTAGTAATAAAATAAAATAACAAAATGCAACATGCAGCCCCAATAGCCTTATGGATAAGGGTACGGATTTCCCATAATATGATACAAAAGATTACGAATTAAAAAAAATTAATCTCTAAAATATTCTCTACTCATAGTTTACTTTAAATTCAACAGACTTGACAGCACTGTTTTATTCGTTTTACATTAATGCTTTCGCACAACATTCTTCAGGAATTTATGATGAGTTGTAAAAGGTATATTACAGTTTTTCGTATGATGTTGCTCCTTTTTTGAAAAGTTAAGTTATGTTTATATGTTAAAGTCGATTTTGTAATATTTCATCATAGTTACAAACAATATTCAAAACACCAAGCTGCCTGGCACATGTTTACAAGTAATACTTCCTATTGCGACAAGATCTTGCAACAGCTTTAGCAGAGGTCGTAAATGGAAAGGGGCCTGAATATTGTAGTTTTACGCTATCCAAGGCAACTCACAGTAAAAGTGACATAAAATTGAGATAAGAAAGCTTGGTTAATTTCCTAGAGCTGAGTAGGTATATAATAGGTACAAAGTAGTACTTCTTTTTAGTAACTTTGAATCACGAAATGTAAGCTTTTATTCTTAAAAAATTATAACCCAGCTGTGGTAAACAGACTTTTAATGGTATAAACTTTGGTACTAATGTGTGACAAGTTTTGTTTTTATCCGTGGTACTGGGATAAATTAGATTATACTTAATAATAACGTGACTCATTTGTGAATTTTGGTAACCGTCAAGTTAATTACGGTACGTTAATTTTTATTCGATAACGATTCAAATTACGAAGCGCCAGCCTAATGCTTATGGGTTAAGTGTACGGATTTCCGATCATGTAGTAGAGGATTCAAATCCCGCCATTCGACTATTCGTCGTAGCAGTATCCTAAACTTAGTTGGAATGGTGGATTTTTTAATAATTATTGCATAAATAAAAAAATGTACTAATATCTTACTTCTTTTATCTATAAATAATCAAATATATATTAAGGATGGTTTAGCTTACGTTTAAATTACGTAGTGTTTACCAGAAAGGAGCGCTGATTCCTTTGTAAGTTTGACATGTATTTTTAAGCTTGGACCTTGTTTAGACGACGAAAACTCCGACGACCTGTTAAGTATTTAGTTACATATTTACATACTACAAATTATTGGCTAATGATAACTGCCAGAATAGATTCTTGATAAAAAAAAATAAGCTTAAGGTCATCCACCCTTCACTGAACACTACATGTGTCACCTCTTTGTAGATGCATTCTCTAAATGTTTAATTTTTTTTATAAGAATAATAAACTAACTATTTATTATGTTTGTCCCAATTAAAAAAAAATCAAATACAAATTAGGTGACTGAGGTGTTATAAGTAAACGGTATTTGTTCGGAGTTTTAATAAATAAATAATTGGATTAATAATTCATATTTGATAGCATAAAAATTAAAACCTTATGACGTACTCAACTTGTTTTTTCTTAGCAGGAAGTCGGTCTTGCTTTACTTTTTTATTTAATTCAATCTAAGCACCTAAAATAAAATTACACAATCATTTATTTTGACACAAGACACATTGCTTAAGTGAAAAATTAGTTAACCTTGCGCGATGCGACCGAAACAATACATTCTTATGAATATTCAACATACTCAGCCGTATACATTCACAATAAGGATACACTTTTTTGTTTATACAAAATACAATTCAGTTATTTTAAATATTTGAGGTACGCACTAGTCGACGTTTTAAGTCAGAGGATAGTTATAGCCGGCGTGTGCATTGCAAGCAATAGGTTTGACTGCACCGATAACACTGCGACCACTGCGAGCTGCTAGCGCGAGGCGCTGCCGCTGCGGCGCCCGGCGGCCAACCGCCGCAACCATTAGGGCCAAGGCCGACCAGCTGATTGCGAAGTCTTCGTTATGTCAGCTTGCGTTCTACTTATGCAACGTTTACAAATCCGATGCAGTTAGATGACCCCTTCTGGTATGCCAAACTGTTCCTATTAATTTAATACCAATTTATTTTAGAACATATTTAATGAGGCATATCTTGGCGTTCAATTCTTATTAACTTCTAATAAGAATTGAACGCCAAGCAGTTTAACTTGTGGAAAGTTCAATTTCAGTTATGAATCATACTTACATTTTTTTTCTAATATGGAATTAACGTATTTTTTAAATATCTGTTTATTAAATGCTTTGGAATATCAAATTAGGTAATTAATTTGTTGCCATTTTATTTCTAATTCTAGGAAGGTAATTTAAAAATGGAGCTTAATGTAAATTTTATGTAATGTTTTAATTAATAAATTTGAAATTTACAAATATTTTTTGTAACTATTCGAAACTGTAGGCATGTGTAACTGAACGACGATAGTTGAATGGTGGGATTCGAACCCACGACCACGTAATAGAATGTCCGTAGTGCCATTAAGCTATTGCCGTAAATAAAAACAAGTTGTGTCCACAAACTCATTAGACAAATATGGCCGTCAACATTTGTAACCACGAGGTCAGTTTCTAGGCCAACCTAATCGTATCCGTGTACATTTATTGACAAAACATCGACGCATCCTTCTCATTATTAACATAATAATTAATTGCAAGTAAATTATGGAAGTTCATGAAAAATATACTTTAAATTTGTATGCTTTTTTTGGAGACTAGGAGTTAGGTCGAGTAATTTGGCATTCGTCACAATGTAAGTTATATTAAGGATGGGTAAGGACGAAAAAAGGATTAATTTTTACAACAATTGTGAAAACAATATATTTCGTACGACTACAATAATGGTGCAGATTTTTAAATAAACAACCGCTACAAAATTGTAGTTTGTTCTACGTCACTTAAACATATTACATATTTAATATATGTAAGATTACAGAATAGATTTAATTAACAAATTGACTTTAATTATCGTGATTAAAGTTAATTACAGTTTTTCTAAAAGATTATATTCGATCGATTTGCAGAAATCTTACGACATCGAAAGATGCACATATATCTCGTAAGTGATTTTCACTGTGGTAGAGCCCGGTTTGACATCTTCACACAAAAGTGTTGGCTCGCCCCCACGACCGCCCAGGACACAGGCGTGATGTGAGAGCAATTCCGCGGAGCCGGAGGCTCAACTTTAGTTCCTTTTCTTTTCTACCCTTTTTCTCATAAGAATTGGATGAAAAAGGAAACGGTGGAGGAGACACATACGAAGAGGAAATATCCTCTTTATGTGCGTCTTCTCCTTCGTCAATTAAGGGTAGGCAATGCATCCGCTATTGCGAATGTCTAGGGCCATTGGTCGCCTCGTCATTTTGGCGGATTCAGGTGGCCGCTTGCTCATTTGCCACCTTACAAAACAAAACAATAAAGTTTATGAGGTGAGCAGTTCCATCTTCCTGTACTTCTTGCGCAGCGTGGAGACGGGGTCCTTGAAGAGGAGTGGGTCGAGGCGCAGCACGGAGCGCAGCAGCGGCATGTAGCCCCACGCCGTCGCGAACGTGTTGAGGCAGGACTGCCGCTGCACGAAGTGCTCCGGGTCGCTCCACGCCGACCTGCGCACACAACATACCCGCCCGATTTTCGTCATCGCTAGTAGAATCGACAAAATGTATAGGAATCGCGTGACTTATCGAATGTTGTTGTTGTTAGTTCCATACATTTTTGACATTTCGATCAGCGATACCAAGAATCGAATGTTACTTTGTCTAAAGAGGCTGCACCTGCCGCACTGGCGACTAAGCGCTCCCAGACTGAAAATGACTAAACCAGACTGAAATACAAATATTTTTTCTGCCAAAAAACTTTAATTCTATTGTTGTTATTAAAGACTGGCTATTGCTATTGACTAAGAAACTTTATTCCCGGCTTACACTTGGTCAGCACAGTTGGACAGTTTCCACAGCCAGTCATCGATTGTATGGACTCACTGGCGCCAGTTAGCGTTCACACAGTTTCAGTAGATTGACAGTCTGGTTATTACTAGTGGGCCAGTGAAGTCGGTGAAGTTGTGCGTGTAGGAGGGCGGACCTGTGCGCGTGGTGCGGCGGCTTGTAGCGGCGGCGCTGCGCCAGCTTGAGCGGCGGGCGGCGCGTGAGGTGCGCCAGCAGGCAGTTGAGCAGGATGTCCTCGCAGTTGCGCGCGCGCCGCACCGCCAGGCGCAGCGCCGGCGCGCCCGCCGCGTACAGCGCCAGCGCCGCGCGGTGCACCAGCGCCGCGCCCGGCAGCACCATCGAGTACGCGCCGCCCCACCGGCTGCTGTACCCCCACGCGCCCTAACGTACACCAAAACACTAATACAGCAGGTGACATCGCTATAACAACAATATCATATCTCATAATTTTATGCGGATGAAGCCGCACAGGATCAGCGAAATTTTAGATATAATACAATTACTCATTAAAACAGTAAATATGTAACCTTGGCCTCATCCCAGTAATGACTCCTAGCTGGGTAGCCGACGATGCGCTCGGGGAAGTGCTGCCACACGCGGAAGGCGAAGTCCAACTCCTCGGCCAACAGCGGCGCGTCTCCGTCCAGTGAGAACACCGCCGCCGTCGGCACGGCCCACAGCGGCTGCCACCTCGCCGATACACCTTCACTGAAATATATGAAAAGTCACTTATCCAATCTATAATTTAATGCAGCTACAGTTTTACCGTTGAACGTGTTTGTAATATGGAAAGATTGAATTTACCCGGGGTAGTGAGTTGTGGCATCGATAACCACTACGGGCAGCGGGTCACGCCCGTCGCCCGCCATGCGCGCTAGCGACTTCAGTGTGGGGGCAGCGCGTTCACTGTCCCACACCAACACCACCTATTTATAATTATCATTGCCATATAAAACATTTAGTATAATTTGAAAAGTCACACAAATTAGTCATTTGCATTAAATTACCTTTTCACAGTATTCACTGGTAGCTATGTTAGCAAGTAGTTTATGTAATGCGGGGGATGTTGCTTGGACGTACAAGAGGGCAGTGAAGGTGTGTCCGGGCGTGGGGGGCGGCGCTGCGGAGGGCACGGCGGGCACGGGCAGGGGGCCGGGCGGCGGCGCGGGCGCGGGGGGAGCCGCCGGCGCCGCCACCGCCAGCGGGTAGTGTGCCCGGGAGTCCCCATACGTAGCCAAAGTGCCCAGGGCGCCGGGTGACGCGTTCCAAATAAGTGCCTCGCGTTGTCTCGAAGATCGATGCGCTAAAATCCGCTCAAATAATAGCTGCAGAAAAAAAATCATATTTTCAAATTAATTCCCATCTTAAAAAACCATAAATTGTTGTATTCTGCATCACTAAGCAGCTTTCAATAATTGGCTTGTCGTATTTTCAGAACGATGCAGTCCCAGACTCGGCATTGGCGAGGCACCTCGTCGCTCGAGACGCGAATTACTTACCGTATATTACCGCACGGCTGCCTCGCCAAGGTTATCTGCTAAGTCAGGATACAAAAGACACAAGTTTTAAAGAATATTTTACCTCGACTGTAGTAAAAACTATTTTCTCAATAGATGAAAAGTATTGTTGCCATAACAATTGCGTTTGTTGTCGCAAAGCAAGTATACGCTCAGGAGGAACTGATCGCACAAGCTCTGGCACCTGGAATCAACAATTTAATTTTATGTACATTTTAAATTGTGTAATGTAATAAAATTTATAATCCATGCACTTTATAATTTATATATACTTTGCAATAAAAGAAGTTCCAACCTGTAACAAAAGACGCTCGTCTGCCCATATAACAGCGCGGCGCCAGTCAATACGTTCATCAAACGGTAACCTCCAACCATTGCTCAAGAGAACAGGAACACAGCCTGCGGCCAATGCTTCTAAAAATCGATAAGACCCAAGGCGCCTCCCCCTCGCCACCAAGCAGAATGTTGAATTTGCCAACAACTGCTCATAATCAAACCTAAAAAATAATTCTTTCATATTTAAACTTTACTGTAAAGCTAAAATAGAGAAAACCATTTTTTAATTGAGAGTTCTTAGTGAAAAATCATGATGAGAGAAATAGTTACAATAATGAATAAAATATACTTGAAAGCATTACAAGCTTAATATATCCTTACTTGTCATATTCTCTGTTGTCTTCATCACACCTCTCATCCCTCAGGTCCTTCCAGGATTTTCCATGTCTACATGTTGTTACCAATATAAGGTTGTTCCCATCATGTAGATGCCATAATGAGTTCCTTGTCTCACTCCCTATACCATGCACATATCGCTTTCCTTTAAAAGCTAACAAATGTCTCTTTGGTGCTGGAAAGGGATTAGCAGTAGCAGCGGGTGCAGCACCTCCTCTCTCAGGGTGCTCTTTATGAAACAAGGGCAGAGATATGTCAAAGCCATCACGAAAAATAGTTTCTGAGGCACTTGCTCTTGCTAAAATGGCTTCACCTGGGTCAAAACCCAATGCATTCTCAGCATAATCAGGCCAGGTGCCGGCATATAAGTTGAATATGATATGATTGCGACCATTCTTCCAATGAGGCAACCTTGATAATCTTTGAGCTACATCAGGTATATGTTCTGGTGACAAAGGATCAGCATCCAAAGTATCCACGGCTGGTAAAAACAGGCATGCCTCATTTGGGTCCCGAGTGGCATATCTTGATTCCCTTAAAACGGATAATACTTTACGATATGTAGCACTTACAGGGCCATCAGTCGGATAAACATAAACTTTAGGGTCATCTCCACATTTTGAGAAATCAAAGCATGTCTCCATACGACATGACTTTACTGTAGGATGCGGGCTTCTTTTTTGTCTAGAAGGGGCTTCGTATAATTCTTCTAAGGTTGCAAACGAAGGCAGTTGGTCACGACGATTCTTTTGCACCAATTCAGTTTTGAAGCGAAATCCACTTATGTATCCATAAATTATTAAGCTACATGAAAACAAAAGTAAAATATAACGCTTCTTAGCCTGCATAACGAACTTTAAAGTTATTAGTTTCATTAAATTTTTTCGGCCTTAACATTTTACATAAGTATATGTATTTTGATGCATAGTAAGTGTTTTACATTATCTTACAATTTCATTTTGTATATTTATGTACTGATACTATATAATAATAATATTAGACATATATGTTTCTTTTTTGTTAATTCAATGTTTATTTATCTATTTTTATTGCATTTATACCTATTTCCTAGTGTCAAATGTCAGTGTCAGATGTCAGTTTTAATTCATTTAAAAACAGCAGATTATATAGAAAAAATACATTATGTCAACAATTATAAGTACAAAAGGAAGAGGAGTACTCAACTTTAAGAAAGTTATTCAAGGTAGGTAAATCTGAATATTAAAATTGTGGTGGCCACCAAAAGAAAGCGGGCCCGTAATGCTGCAGTTCATGGATGTATTATTCAAGTAAAAAAAAAAAACATTATGACTCTCATGAATGCTCTGCTTTTTAGTGTCAATGGTAAAGTAAAGTTGTGTATGTTTATAAACTTGTCAGATTTCTAATTTTTAATGGAAATAAATGAAATGATCAGCTTCGATTTAGATGATGTACTTTTAGTGATTTTCTAATGTGAATGCCTTTGCGTAATTTGTACATTTTAGAATTGTTCCAAACGATTAGATTCAAGATTAAAATATTGGCTATAGCAAAGTATTTTGTAGGTTAACTTATGATACTGTGATATTTTAAAATTTACTATTTTAATACTAAGAGTTAAGCTTAAAGTTATAAAGGAGTTGTACAATTTTGGGCCTTTTTTCAACTAACAAGAAAACTTTTACATTTAACTATCTTTACAATTTTATATACTAATAAACTTGGTATAAGTTCTGTTAGTTAACAAAACCAGCTCCCATACAAAAAATAGACAAGTCCTTTATCCTTAGATCGAATTCTACTGACATGGAGTCTATTGATCCAATTCCTAGATCACCATTACATTTATATATAAATTTATATTGTAATAAACGGCAATTGTTGGACCAAAATGTTAAAAAGGTGTGTATTGATTAATTTTTAAATATACTGAAGACTGTTATATATTGTTAATCTTATCAACATGCTTTTAGAATCATAAACTTTTAAAAGAGGCAACCACATCTTGGCTTTCCCTTAATGATGATGAGAAACAACTGTTTATTTCAAAACATGATGAAATAATAGCAGAACATAAACAAAAAATTGCAGTTTCTCTTAAAGATGCGAAGCCTTATCTAAGAAAGAAGAATAAAAAACTGTAAGTTAGTTATCTATTATAGATAATAATATCCAGTTTAAATAAAAATACAAATTAGAATTATGTGAAATATTATCAGTGTACAATAGGTACAACTTGCATACTATTGGACATTTGTACATTATAAAAAGAGAAGAAATTAACTATGAATATTCTTCAATATTAAGTGCATACTACATTATCATGCAATTTTTTATTATTCCAGACCTGAAAACACAAAAAATAGTGCTGTATTTGGACAAAATCAGATAGAAATAAGTTTTAATGACACCTTACCAGTAAGCATAGCACAAAATACCAGCACAATTGATTTTGGTGATACAGATAAAAAAAGGTTAGAGAAACAATACATTAAAACAACTTAATAATTTGTTTAGTAGTTTCTTTGTCAAAAGTAGAGCATATCATTGAAACATTTTTTATGTTTTTGAACAAACTTTTAGGTCTGAAATCAGTTTTCCACAAAATGAACAGAATCTAAGTCATATTAATGAAACTAGTACTATAATCCAAGATCAACAATTTATACATGAAAAATTACCTGAACCCATTCCACCAAGAGTTATGTAAGTACTGCTGTGGTGATTTTCACCAATTTCTGATATCTGATACTTACCTTAACATGTAACATTGTTTTGATTATTATAATTAAATATCATATTATCCCATCCTTTATGTAAAAATTAAAATAAACAAAATATGTATTATGTACAAAATTGGGAACCACCAGCACACATCACATGCAACCAGTGTTCAGGGCTGCAAAGACAGGACCCCCCTTTTCACAGTGCATGCTGTTTCTAAAGTAACTGCCTTTTAAATTAGGCCGTTAATTCAACTATTATTTTTACTATCAAGCATTTATTTTTGTAGTCATGTTTCATACAATATACATATGAGCAATAAATCGGCGCAGTAGTTTTTGTGTTATTCCAATACATACAAAAATACAAATATTTCCTCTTTATAGTATTAGTTTAGACAACTTTAAAGAAATAAATATTTTGTTAAAGGTCTGGCAAAGAACTATTTTTATTACTAGGCAGTGAAGAAGAAAATTGTGTAAACTGGGAGTCTTTACCAGATTCTAAAAAGAGACACTACCAGAGGGCTGTCCTTACAATAAAAAGAAATTACTTAAGATCATACAGAACATTTTTGGAAAGTTTGGAGCCTATAGAGCTGCATACATTTTATGTCAATAATAAACAAATTGAATGAAAAGGTTTTTAGTTTTTGATTATGTCTATGTATATATATTAAAATTAAGTAAATAATTTAACCATCATATAATATTAACAACATATCAACAGAGGAGATGAGTGGATTTTTGCTCAAGATTTCTGGTTAGTTCAGTTACTCTATCATATAAATGTCAATTGAAGAGAATGGCATTCAGCTGGAGGTCAACTACACTGTGATCGCTTACAAATGTACTTGGGTTTTTTATTTACATGTTTGCTTTAACATTTAGAGAGATAACCAAAGTGTTCTCAACATTGAAATGTAACTTAAAATATGATAGCACAGCTAGTTTACTGCAATGTAAAGACTGTAATATTTACTGTTAGTGTCCTATTAAGTGGGTATAGTTCATGTCCAGAATATTCTATTTATATTGTGTATTCTATGTACATTGCAAACCTTAACAATATACTGAACTATACTAAATAATGTACACATAATAATAAGCCTCTTAGATTTTAAATTATTACATTTATTGCACAATAATTAACAATACTGAAAGTGAGATACAATATTTTAAATCATATACATTTCTTATGCATACTATGTTGATCACAAATCTAATAAATGTTAAACAGATCTACTGTAGGGATAATAGATGTGACTAATGAATGTTTATTTGCCACAAAGAAGGCCAATAGCCATGCCAGCAACAAAGGATGTTAAAAATATGTGCGTTTCAGTTGCTTTGTAGTGATCATCACCAGTGACATTGTTAAACCATTTCTTTGCTTTTTTCTCTTTTTTCTTTAACAAATCTTCAGCTTTGTCAATTTTACGATCCACAAATCTCTCTACCTGTAATATAATTGTTTTATAAGTTATATAATTACTTGTAAGTCATATGATATATAATTAAATTTTAATAACTCAAATAAATTATATATGGTCACAACATTTTTATAGAGGTAATACTTTACTTGTAAATAAATCTTACTAAAATACATATTATTGACTTGACCGGCTTAATAAAATTATTAACTCACTGTCAAATCAATTACAATTATTAAATTTCATGAAGATGCTATTCCAAAAAAGAATCCACCAGTAAAGCCTGCTGAATAATAGGAATTATCTTTGACAAATGTTACTACCTGCAACAAAAAGAACTTTTGCAAAAAATATCAATTTATAAAGAGAGCTCATGCATCACCCTGAATCAGGCTGTTATAAATTTTATTAAAACCGACCAAGGCTTATGCTAAAAAACTAAAAACATATCTTTTTAATTCGTTTTGTCTTACTTTTTCGAACCAATCGGGAGATTTTCCTGTAGCCTCTTTCTCAATTTTATCGCTGATCTTGTCAACTTTCTTATTGATTTTATCCCAGTTAATATCAATGTAACCTTTTTGGCTAGCAATATGCAACAATATAACACCTCCACCAATTCCAACAGCAGCAAATTTTCCGATTTTCATTGTTATAAAACCGGTAATCCTAAAAATAGGGTTTGTGCCATCAATTAATATTCTAAGAAAAGGTAATTTATAAGTTTAAACAGTAATTTCCGCACATACCATCCTGACGCAGTTCCCAAAATAAGTTGTTTTGTTGCAGACGTTTTTCCAATATCGCCAATAGCTTTTTCGATAAAATTTTTTGCGTCATCGACGATTTTCTTCGCTTCTTCAGAAGCATCTTCTGTTTTTGGTTTAGCCATCTTGATACAAACTAGAAAAAATTGGTTCGATTAGGCAATTAAAGCCTGCTGTCTTATTATAGTTCAATCAGGTGCAGAATCTGATCCGATTAGATTGTCATAAAATAGCGCAAATGCATAGAATGATGCAGAACAATACAATACAATGAAAATAAGAGATAAATCGGGAGTGTGATTCACCGTCTATGGCAAGTCTATGGTATGACATAATTATAGAGTTAAAGTAGGTATAGATAATCCAGGAAAATAAAAACCTTACTATGATTCGAAAAACTAGCAAAACGGAACTGAACGAAACATTTATAACGGAGATCAATGTAAAATAATTACTGGGTTTAATTTTTCATTACATGAGTTGAGAGTTTTACAAAATGAAAGGTAGGTAATTTTGTGGTTTCTTGTAAGGGGAAGCCAGGGCTGTCTTTTCCAGACAGTGACAGCGAAGACGTTTGTCTATGAGTGACATTGACACTTGTCCTTATGTGATTTTTTTTTGTATGTATATGCAGTTGTGCAGGCTTTATTTGTTTTTATATTTGGTAATAATAAATAATATTCCGGTTTAAAATGCATTAAACTGACATAAACCTTTACGGTTCTCAAATACATCTTAAACTCCTCTGCAATAACTTTATCATTTAAAATGAGGATTCCAGGACATGTATTAAATCTTCGGCGAGGATTTTTTATGGTTTCCAAAAGATTCAATAGTAGTCTTGGGCTGTGGGTACGAAAAAATAACCATATATTATATTTTATACCTTAATAAAGTTCTCAAAAAGACCTGTACAAGGTGTAATTTTATGTGATGATATATGAAATTTAATATAATATAGAAACAAGATATCTTGTTAATATATATGATCATAGTTTTTAATTAACAATTGTATTTGCATGTCATCTTTCTTAAATGACTATTTACTGTATTTTCATTGCAGAATGAAGACATCTCAACAGACATTAAGTTAAAAATAGAAAAGCATTGGTGTGAAAATGTACAAAGAAAAAACAGCAATATTAATGACAAGCCATACTATGTGCTGCCAATGTTTCCATATCCCTCTGGGAATTTGCACATGGGCCATGTACGAGTATATTCAATATCGGATACAATTGCAAAGTTTCATAAAATGAATGGAAAAAATGTTTTACATCCAATAGGATGGGATGCATTTGGCTTACCTGCTGAAAATGCAGCCTTGGAGCGCAATATTCCTCCACAGAAATGGACAAACACCAATATTTCTACAATGAAAGCTCAACTTATTGATTTAGGCTTTAACTTTGATTGGGACAGAGAAATAAGTACATGTGACCCCCGATATTACAAATGGACACAATACATATTTCTGAAACTATTTGAAAATGGTTTAGCCTACCAAAGTAAGGTAAGGTTTTTTATTAGATTTTTTTTATAATAGTAAACTATTATCATTCGTAACAAATTTTAGAAACAATACTTTAGAGTTTTGCACTATAAATTAAAATAAATTGTAGGCAAAGGTGAACTGGGATCCGGTAGACAAAACAGTGTTAGCAGATGAACAAGTAGATGACAATGGCTGTTCATGGAGGTCAGGTGCTAAAGTTGAAAAAAAGGTTCTTACTCAATGGTTTATCAAAACAACAAAATATGCAAAACAGCTGTATAATGGTCTGAATAGTAAAAATTTAGAGAACTGGAAAGACATTATTAACCTCCAAAAACATTGGATTGGAGAATGCAATGGGGTTTCAGTTACATTTCAGATTAAAGTAGGAGATAATTTAAAATCTTTTGATGTGTGGACCTCTGACCCATATAAACTCTTACATGGGGAATTCTTAACTATGCAAAAAGATAATATAATTTTAAATGAATACCTAAAAGACAAAACTTTAGGTCTAAAATGTATTAATCCAATAACAAATTCTGAAATGCCAATATATGTAGCAGACAATGTGAATTATCCTGAAGGACAGGAGGTATATTTAGCATGTCCTTCTTTAGATGTTGAAGATAGAAAATTATCTCAAGATCTAGGAATTTCCTTTAAAGACAGAGCTGGAAACATGAATATAGACAATGAAAATCAAAAAGCGATAGATGTAGCTTTAAGTGAAAATGTTGGAGGACATTTTGTTAGTTCTAAGCTTAAAGATTGGTTAATATCTAGACAAAGGTATTGGGGCACACCTATACCAATTATTCATTGTTCTAAATGTGGCATAGTTCCTGTACCCTATAATGATCTTCCTGTACCATTACCTGAGGCCCACTCTTTTGAATTTGGTTCACCATCATTAAAGGATATGAAAGATTGGATGACATGTAAATGTCCAAAATGTTCAGCTACTGCAACAAGGGAAACAGACACAATGGATACATTTGTTGATTCTTCTTGGTACTTTTATCGATTTCTGGATCATGACAATATAGATATACCATTCAGTAAAGAAAAAATTAAAGATTTTACCCCTGTTCATTGTTACATTGGTGGTAAAGAACATGCAGTTTTGCACTTATATTATGCTCGGTTTATGAGTTATTTTTTGCACTCTCTCGGGTGGACATCAGAACCGGAACCTTTTAAGAAACTTCTGGTTCAAGGTATGATTATGGGACAAAGTTACAAAATCAAATCATCAGGAAAATATATAACCCCAGAGGATGTTGAAAAAGTAGGTAAAGAATACAAAGAAAAAAGTACTGGTGAATCTGTTTTAGTTCAGTGGGAAAAAATGAGTAAATCCAAATATAATGGTGAAAATCCAAAAAGGCTATTGACCACTTATGGATGCGACACAACGCGGTTACTCATGCTGGCTGACGTGCCTCCTGCTACCAGTAGACATTGGTCTGATGCAAGTTAGTACATTTTTGTTGTCTTCACAAGCAATTTTTTTTTTAATTATCTGAAATTTGTAGAGCCATTGAGATATTTTTGGTATGGTAAAACTCGCATAGTTTGGTTTTTAACATTTAATTTCTTTCTCTTGGATTAAATTTAATAATGTCTGAAAGATTATGACATGGTTTATTGCAGCTCTTCCAGGTGTATTAAACTGGCAACACCGCTTGTGGATAACTATTCGGGATTTTATAAACCACAGAAATAATGTAGATATATTAAAGCAAAACGATTTGTCAAAGGAAATGAAAGATTTGGACATGAAAATATGGAACTCAAGAAACTATTTTAATGCTACTGCAACCTATCATTTTCAATACACCCAAAAACTGAGTGTTGGAATCTCAAGATTGCAGAGCTTGACAAATGTTTTACGAGTGAGTATGATATTTTTAATAGTTGTATATAATTATAGCCATTATTTTTGTACAAAAATGTATATTTTTCAGAACAATGTACCACCAGAAGTAATAGCTAACAGTAAAGAATATGAATTAGCACTTGCATCATTAATTATAATGTTGACACCGGTAACTCCACATTTTTGTTCACAATTGTGGGCAGGATTTTTAATGGCACCTAACAGATTAAATAATAACTCGGTTATAGTAGACTGGCAGAAAAGTGTGCTAGATCAAAAGTGGCCACAAGTGGACGACCATTTCGAACTTTCATTCTTATGTAAGGTATGTAAGAACTTAATTTATTATTGGATCATTAACCTGTATTGTGACAATGTTGCCATCTCATCCTCAAGAACAAATTGCAAGTGTTTTACAAGTGTCATGTCTTTGAAATGTGTGGTAAAAATCATACAGGTACGTCTTTGGCTAACAAACCATCTTCAAGATAGTTGGACAAACTATTACTTTACGTTTAACAAATGTATGAAATTGGCAAATATCATTTTAGGTAGATGGAGCTGACAGATGCGAACTTAAAATAAGGGCGGATGAACTTTCAAAAATCACTCAAGAAAGGGCTTTACAAATAATGCTCGAGCAAGAACCTGTTGCTAAAAGAATTGCAAGAGGCATT